CAGCTAAAAGGCCAGCAGCACCATATCCTGTAAGATGTAGCTAGAAATAAAAGCTGCTTGAGTGGTTTTCAAATGTCTTAATTTTCATAATTGTTTCCACATTATGGGCTGGCTGAACATTTTTTTCAGGGAATCAGGTTTGGGAGAGTCTAAATGAGAGCTTTGCTCATGAAGTTTTCATTTGGATTCCACATATAGACTTTCTAAACCATCATTTTATGAAGTCTTAAATTACTGAAGTTTGAAGTTGTGGTAATAGCTCCAAAGTTTAACATCTTTTGTTTTTGGGTCACAACAAGCCAAATCCTCTAAACCTTTGGTATAAAAAAAAAAAAAAAAAAAAAAAAAAAAAAAAAAAAAAAAAAAAAAAAACAAAAAAAAAATAAACCCAGCTTGGGATTTGGTGGAATTAAAGTTAGGAACATTAATCTTGAAATTGGCCATATTGTGGGCCTACTTACCATAAAATTTGAAAACATATTTTCAGAAAAGTGCCCCTTCTGTGCTTCTCAGGGCTATTAAAAGAAAACAAAGAAACCCTAGGGGCACCTGAGTGGCTCAGTCTGTTAAGCACCAGACTCTTGGTTTCAGCTCAAGCCCCTCCTTTGGCTCTGTGCTCAGCGTGGAGTCTGCTTGAGATTCTCCCTTCCCCCCCCCCCCCCCCCCCCCCCGGCCCCGCTCTGCCCCTCCCCATATCGTGTCTGTGTGCGTGATCTCTCTCTCTCAAATAAATCTTTAAAAAGGAACCCTAAAGGCTATTTATAATGTCCCCATTTTTTTTTTATAGTACAAGACAGTCTTTGAATGTGTTTTGATTAGATCATTCTATTTTGGTGATTCTATAGTTATTGTAACTATGACTATAGTTCTTGGTCTGTCTGGTGTTTTGTTTGCCCGCGGAGAGAAAGTGTAATGTTGTCCATAAGCATGGGGGCTGGGAGCACAGCTTCCCCAACAGAACCCAGGGTCTTCTCTTACCGGTTGTATGACTGTCGGGAAGGGCGCTTCAGTTTCCTCATCTGCAAAGTGGTTATGATAATAGTATCTTCATCACTGTTGGGAGGATTAAATGAGATAACTCACCAGGCACAAAGCAATCACTCATATACTAGCAATTAAGAATAGTGGTGATATGGAGATAGTCAGTAACTAACCCAAGAGCACAGTTAAGTGAAGCTGTTCTCTAACTGACCTACTTAATGGGTGATGAGAGTAAGTCAGCAAAGATGTTTAACTGAACGTGTCATTTTAGTGGGGGAAGATATAGTATAGGATGGAGATTCATTCATCCCTTCCACAAATGCTGATGCTATGGATGTGATCTTTTTTTTTTAAGATTTTATTTATTTGAGAGAGAGAGAGTAAGAACACGAGTGAGGTGAGGGGCAGAGGGAGAAGCAGGTTCCCCTCTGAACAGGGATCCTGATGTGGGGCTCGATCCAACAGAATCATATTTTAAGGTTTGAGAGAGTTCAAGAGATGATACATTCATCATTTGTTAGAAGCTCCCTAAAGTTTTGGTAATTTGCAGCTAAGAAGATATGGTGATCCGTCATTAGTATGTCCTGGAGACTGTCAACAAGCTGACAGCATATGGCAGGGAAGGAAAAAAAAATCAAAAGCACTAATTCACAGAACTGCCAGTTATTCATTTTTGGAGCTCTGGGGTGATTGCATTAGGAAATGTTTTACAGGAGAGTTGGCGAAAGTGACGTCCTGATTTGATTATAGTTGTCAACGTGTAAGGTTTTACAGCTACATGAAATTTTAAGTAGAAAACCACTGTGTTTTCATTATCACTGAAAAACTCTAAAGTGTGCTGTGCTGTGCTAGTAATAATGAACATAGTGAATCCTTGAGGCTTTTCCTTTGAACATTAATTCTGATTTTTCGGAGCTGTATTTGTCAAAGAAAGGTAGAATACATTAAGTAGAATGTGTGCTCTGAAGATAGACTTTTAAACTAGCATTTAAAAGTCTATTTATTACAGAAAATGTGGAACAGAGAAAAAACTGGAAAGAATTGTTTTAAATGATCCCTAATTCCACCATCCTTAATGAAGTATTTACACTTTTAAGATTTTTTCCTTATTTTTCTATATTTAAAAGATAGACAAGAAATATGTGTGTGTATATGTCTTTGTGTGTATAAAATATGTATGTATATGCATGTGTACATATATAATTATTTATAATTAAAATAATAGCATGTGCTTTTTCTCCTATTACCACAACTTCGTGGTAAATATGATTTTCAGTAGCTGTACAGTACTCCATGTGGAATGGAATCTTTTCCACAGGTTCCCCACTTGAACTTTATTTGCTCTCATTGTTTCGCCCAAAAGTAGGTTTTGAGGCTGTGAGGTAGGGAGCTGCTTGGTAGGAATTCTGGTTAATTGTGTTTTTTTTTTTTCTGTGACTTCTCAACTTTGGAAGATAAAACTGCTTCTCAGTCTCAGGATGATTTTTTGTTAAAATATGTCTAAGAATGTGCCATTTGGGTTTTGATGGGGAGAAAGTTAAATTGGAAGATTTTTCAAGTAAAAATCATTGAGGATTTAGGATATCATATAATTACAAATTCCACCAAATTTGTGAACCAAAACTAAAATGTTAAGACCTCTTCAAAAGGAAATTAGGAAAATTTAAAGTTTTATTGGTAGTATCTTCATACCAACATCTTTCTGACATATTAATTGATACTGCTGATGAGTTAGTCAAGGATAACATAACTTTTAAATTAGATATGTGTTTCTCTTAGCTATCCAGAGCATATAGCAAAATAAAATACATGAAATATTTTTTATTAGTGAAAGGACACATAATAATTGCACCATGAAAATTTCTTTTGGATTATTTGTCTTGAATTTCTGTATACTTCCAACACTATTGAAAGCCTGAATTTTCTCCTTGAATATTTAAATTGAATTTTACTAGATTGCTGTCTTCTGTTCAATTCTCATATGCTGCTGGTGGGATTAGAAATATCATCTGTTTTAAGGGCAGTTTGACAATCTGTATCAGAAATCTTTAAATAAATTTATATTCTTTACTTCAGCAACTTGAAATGTATGGATTAAGCCTAAGCAAATAATTGGCTGAGTATGTAAAGATTAATGCACAAGAACACAGCCTTGCTTATAGAGGCTAAATATTGGGGGCAAATGAAATACCCAACATTTAGGGATTAGTTAAGTAAAGCGTGTTATGACCATATGCTGGAACATTATGAAGCTATTAAAATTATATATCTATATTTGAGAAAATTACCATGATACAGCATGGGTCTATTGGCCTCTTATATGGAGCTATCTTCTATTGGCAGTTAAACATTGGTGAATGTCTGCCAAAGAGAGTAATTTTTGTTTTGTCATTAAAATCAAGTCCCCTTCCTTGTAATTGAAAGGCTCTAGAGTCATTTGTCTCTTGAAACCACTCCCAGTTTTTTATTGTAAGCTTATAAAATGGTATTTTACCTTCCATTTGCTATGGCAGAGAAGTATGTATCTAATTCATTTAAAAGTATCATTACACCATTAAAATATAAATTAAAAAGAACACTATCTAAGATATATTTGCATTTTGTGCTACTTCAAATTGGTATCTGATCTGCTTACCCTGATTCTGGATATGGTATTGGACTGCAGAATTTATGAGAACCTTAAAAGCTGGGGATTTCTATTAAGCTTTTGCTTTTAGAGCCACTTCGTTCCCACCAGTGGACTGCTTAGTTTCTGGGCCTACTGGATCTCTGGTTCTCCAGTGAATAAGTTGCTGCCTCGTTCCTTGACAGGGAGCCCACAGACATTCTCACTCTAAATTTCTGGCTTTCAACTCTGGTCTCCTTTGATTGGAATCTTTCATAGCTGTTCAGACCACTGTGAGGCAGAACTCCTAGTCTTTCCACCAAGCGTAGATGGAGAGGCATCCTTAGAGCTCCTCCCAACCCATCCTTGGCCAGAATCCCTTAGTTTTGGTGTCCAAGAGATCTTGTCATGAGATGAGCATCTTCTGTCTGCCTGATACCCCAGTTTGGGGTCTACTTTCAGACATGTGTCCCGAGGACTTGCCCTCACATGGCAGGTATGTAGTCACATCCTTGGACATCTGCTCAAACTCCAGAGCTCCGTCTTGTCCATGGAATCCTGCTCTTCCACCACCTGCTGTGGTGAAAGCCCAGGGAAGGAACCTGACTTAAAGTGATTGAGTTGGAAAATCCAGTAAGCACATTCACCACTGGTACAATTTGGATTAGGACAATAAAGAAAAAGTGAACAAAAAAGGAAGGAGGAGTACTGAGAACACAGTCTTCAGCCCTATATCACATGCTTAAAAAGTGTGCATTGTCATTATAGCTTGAAACCAAAAGATGGTGGAAGGAGGATCAGGAGTGGAATCAGAAGTGGTAGAAAATTATCTCTTGGGGAATCAGCTTGGTCATGTGAAGAGTAACTCAACACTCAGTTATCTTGTGACAGTGTGCTTGGCATTACCAACTTGCCCTTGCCTAATGAACAGAACCCATAAATAATGAATGAGCTGGAAACCACCAGGAGAAAGCATTAATGTACTGTGCTGTAATTATTACTGATGCAGAGTGGATATTGCAGGACTCAGAGTATTTGAGCTATTGCCGATCCATGATCAGGCAGTCAGCCAGCCAGCCAGCCAGCCATTCAGCAAATATCTGTCATGAGGCAGCCCGGGCAGATGGGTCTTGGGAGTATACTGGTGATCAAAAGAGACAGAGATCCTCCCTCACACTTGCACCTAGCCTGGGAAACAGACAACAATTATTGATGCAAGATAAATACTATCATAAGAGGTCAGGGGCTAGAGTCCTGGAACAAGGGACATTTACATCGGGATCTGAAGGATTAACAGAAGCTGGCCAGAACAGGGGCTTTGTTCTGCCACCTTTGCAGTGGCAATTGGTGGTTCAGTGACTGAATATGCAAAGAATGATGTTTGTTTCTTCTTCAAATTTCTTTCTAGGATGTTCAGTCCTTCTCCACAATGAATGAGTGTTACTATGATAAGCGGATGGACTTTTTTTACAATAGGAGCAACACAGACACTGCCGATGAGTGGACAGGAACGAAGCTTGTAATTGTTTTGTGTGTTGGAACATTTTTCTGCCTGTTTATTTTTTTTTCGAATTCTCTAGTCATCGCAGCAGTGATCAAAAACAGAAAGTTTCATTTCCCCTTCTACTACCTGTTGGCTAACCTAGCTGCTGCGGATTTCTTTGCTGGAATTGCCTATGTATTCCTGATGTTTAACACTGGCCCCGTTTCAAAAACTTTGACGGTCAACCGCTGGTTTCTCCGCCAGGGGCTCCTGGACACTAGCTTGACCGCCTCTCTAACCAATTTGTTGGTTATTGCTGTGGAGAGGCACATGTCAATCATGAGGATGCGGATCCATAGCAACCTGACGAAAAAGAGGGTGACGCTGCTCATTTTGTTTATCTGGGCCATCGCTATCTTTATGGGGGCGGTCCCCACACTGGGCTGGAATTGCCTGTGTGACATCTCTGCCTGCTCTTCCCTGGCCCCCATTTACAGCAGGAGTTACCTCATTTTCTGGACTGTGTCCAACCTTGTGGCCTTCTTCATCATGGTTGTGGTGTACCTGAGGATCTACGTGTATGTCAAGAGGAAAACCAACATTTTGTCTCCACATACAAGTGGGTCCATCAGCCGCCGGAGGACACCCATGAAGCTGATGAAGACGGTGATGACTGTCTTAGGTAAGGAGGAACCAAGTGAGCCATTTTCCCCATTCATTCAGCAAATGTTTATTGAGCATCTAGAGTATGCAAGGTGCTTACTAGGTAGTAGAAATGCAGTAGTGAACAAGAAAAGTCATAAATCCCCAACCTGCTTGGAACTTATACTCTAGTAGGGGAAGACAACATAAGTATTTAAATAGAGATAAAATAATGTTATAATACATTTTAATATAACACTTATAAGGTAAAGAGGCTAAGCAGGTCTAGTTTGCAATTCTAGCTTCAGCTAGAAGATGACACTTGAGCAGATGTGAAGGTGGTGAGGAAGTGAACTGCGTGTGTCTGGGAAGGGCACCAGGCAGGAGATGCAGTAAGCACAGGAGCCCAGAAAAGCAAGGAGGCCATTGTGGCTGGAGTAGAGTGAGCTGGGAGAGTGGGAACATATGAGGTCGGAGGGTTAATGGGAGGTGTTGGGGCCACTCAGATCATGTAGGACGGTGTAGTTATCATAAGGACTTTGGATTTTCCGAGTGAGAAGAGAAGCCATGGGAAGGTTTTGAACAAGGGAGTAACATGATTGGACCTGCATTTTAATGGTATCTCTTTGGCTGCCATTTTGTGAGGAGCAAGGGCAAAGGCAAGAAATTTGCTGAAGAGGGTATTTCAGTACTCAGAGTGGTGGTAGGGACTGGGACCAGAGGGCAGTTGGGAGGTAGTGCTGTGTGGTTGGCTTAGTTTAACAAACAAATAGTTTTTAGGTGACTTTGAGATCACATTTGGTATAGCCAAGAGTCTGTTCAGAACAAAATGAAGAAAGAGAGGAGAGGCCTTAGGAAAGCACATGTGAACAGCTCTGAGGACTTTTTGCTTTGCCCTACCAGCCCTGTCCCTCGAAGATGTATTTGGTGCAAAAAATTTTCCCTTTGTTTTGTTTTCTCTCTGGTAGGCTGCCCCCCAATTCCAGTCTGGGTCACAGGTGGAATTGGTGCTGTGTGGGTTCACAGGACTTGTCTTCTATGTTAGAGAGTCCATTTCCTACCATGTGTGGTGGCCACAGCAGTGGGGACTGTTTCTGAGAGAGGTCCCAGAGCATGTTCCTGTCAAATCCTGATGTGAAGGAATTCTTGGGCAGCAATTCATAGTGGAGGACGCAGGGAATATGTGACGTGGGATGGCAGCCACCAGGATGTGTCCAGGTCCTGAAATTGCCAGGAAGGCATGGAAGTCAGCAGACACACAGCGTGATTGTTAAAATGATTTCAAACGAGGATTTATGTTAGCTAACAAGTATTTATATAGTCCTTACTATGTGTCAGGCATTGTCCTCACTGTTTTATAGATAGTAATCTATTCCATCCTCATGCCAATCTTGTGATGTAGGTGCTATTGTTACCCTCATTGCCCGGATGAAGAAACTGAGCAGAGCAGCCTGCCCAGGGCCACTCAGCGATGGATGCATGGGGCCCCCAACACACACTGTGCCGTTGGCCTTCAGAGCCCACATGTTCAACACTGTACTCTGCAGCCTGTTTTGATTTATTTGGACTTTTACTGGTTTCCCTGGTTTCCTCTTTGTTTCCTCTTCTCTTTTGACCACATCATTCTTCATTTAGCCCCTTGACAAGACTGTAGGTTAAGAGTAAGAAAGGGGGGGGTCACATTAATCAGTTTTTCCACCTTTGAACTAGACAGGATTTTGATGTTTTTGGCAAAGAGTAACTAACATTCAGTATTTATTGGTATTGTCCTTGAATTTGCTATTTTCCCTTCTTGAATTGTAAGCATCATTGTTTGGCAATGTGTCTTGAAGGCCATGTGTCAAGACGGTAATGACCTTCTTGATTGAAGAGAAAACTCTCTTTTTTTTTTCAGCATATTATGTATCATATACAGTGTGAGATAGAAAAGGTGTAATCTTAGGTGGGGAGAACAGGACTCCATAGGACAGTCTTGGTCACTAGCTTCAGCCTGGACTGGTTACAGAAGGGTAAAATGCAAGAGCAGTGTGGTTTTGGCAGGTGTGGTTGGATAAGGGGGGAAAAAAACGGAATAAAGAGTGAAATTGCTAAGTAAGACAAGAGAAGTTGTGGTGCTGACATGGAACAATGTGGAGGAATCGGTTCATGGCAGGAAGACAGTTTGATGGCGAGGACCTGGGGAAGTTCCTTAGCGGTGAGACAGAAGGATCTGGTAGAAGATGAGAAGTCTGGGGACAGAGGAAGTGAAACTGAAGAGCTGGGTTGTATGAGGTTTTTAGGTTTCTAGATCCTGATTTCTTTGGATAATAGAAGATATGGTTTTAGCCTCAAATCTGTCATTTCCTATAAGGGTGATCTGAAGTACATTATTGGCTCACCTTTTCCTGGTTAAATTTCACCATTTGAGGTAGAATAGATAATCTTTAAATTCTTTCCAAGTTGTAAGATCCAACGATCCTGTTATAACAATAAGTAACCAAAGTCAACACAGAGTTCAGTGTGTTGACTGTGTATCAAAGCACAGAGTCTTTTTCCATAAAAGCATCAACCATAGTATCTCCTTAGGGAGGAAGCCCCTCAGTTGCTCACTGTGATGCATGTAAAAGTTCCGTTGCCTAACACAAGTGTCTCCCAAATGATAGTATCTTTGAAAGATCAACAATGCTGGCTTTACCATCATTGTAGTTACTGGTTCTAAGTATGTGTAAATTAATAGCTTAATATTTATTTCTATAATGATTATCTGATTTAATAATTTAAACCTTTCTGCTTACATTGATATATATGTTGTAGGAAAGGTTAAGATGGAAGCTTTTTATAAATATGCCTTCTTTTAAATATTAGGAAGTCAATCCATAAATATATATTAACTGTCTCTTAAACAGCACCTAAAAGGCAGAGTTGCATGAATTCAGGGAGCTGAATCTCATTTCCGAGAAGGAAGATGGGATGGACAGGTGAAGTTTGGGGATGGCTTCTTGGAGGGCTTGGGATGTGATCTGGAAGGATGGGTGGGATTTGAATGGGCAGGGGGGAAAGATATTTTAAGTCAGAGAAATGGCAAAATCAAAAGCGACAGTAGAAACATCTCAACTTGCATAGCACCACAAGGAAGGCCCTTGCCAGATGCATGTTGCGGTACAACAGAAAATAGCTGAATTTTGCATCCCAAAGACTAAAATTGGAATGATACAGAGAAGATTAGCATGGCCCCTGCACAAGGATGACACGAAAATTCATGAAGTGTTTCTTTTTTTTTCACCCAAAAAAAAAAAAAAAAAAAGAAAGAAATCTTGCCATTTGCAACGACATGGATGGAACTAGAAGGTATTATGCTCAGTGAAATAAGTCAATCAGAGAAAGACATGTATCATATGATCTCACTCATTTGTGGAATTTAAGAAACAAAACAGAGGGTCATAGGGGAAGAGAGGGAAAAATAAAACAAGACGACATCAAAGAGGGAGACAAACCATAAGAGACTCTTAATCATAGGAAACAAACTGAGGGTTGCTGAAGGGGAGGGGGATGGGGTAACTGGGGGATGGACACTGGGGAAGGATCATGATGTAATGAGTGCTGGGTATTATATGACTGGTGAATCACTGACCTCTACCTCTGAAACTAATAATACACTATGGGTGAATTAATTTAACTTAAAAAAAAAAAAAAAGGAAATAGCTCAGTGTGAGCCAGGAAAGTTTAGTTGGCCATCCTCTTTGGAAGGAGAGAGGGAGACCAGATGACCTTTGTGTTTCTTTCCAGCATTAGTATTTTGGTTGCACACAAAGCATACAGAGCTGGACAGGGGACAGATTTTTTTCCTTGCTGAGGGAGGTGGTAGTAGTGACAATGGTGGTGTGAATCTTGAATCTCTATGTGAGTGGAAAGGCATTTAGGCGTTGTGTTCCCATTTTAGCAGCCCTGAGGCAGAAAGCTTGTTCATTTCTGAGTCATGATGTGTGATGAGCCCTTTACATGAGAGAAGTTGCTTATTGAATATTCCCATGGAAAAGACATTGGGGACATATGATCCTGCTTTCTATAGGGCACCAAGGCCCTGCCTAAGAGAGAGCCATGTATTTTGAAATCCTACTTGTTAACAAGCCTAATCGGCCTTAGCAACCAAACAAGAAGCCCCCCCATGGAAAAACTTCTCATTTATTGTCAGAAAACCCACACCATGAGCTGTGCACACGGGTATGTTCTGTTTCCTGGGAAATGGGCTGGATTTCCTTCTTTTTTGCAGAGTCTTGAAAGGCAAAAGAAAAGTAGCCTGAGGGGAGTTGTGAGCCATACTCTTGAACTCTTCCATAAGAAAATCTTCCATAAACCTTGTCTCTCAGTATGGTGTTTTTCAAACCTCAGGTTGTGACCCAGTGGCAAGTAATGAGATCAGTTAGGAGATTCTAATTGACACTTTCTGTGTGTGCACAGGACTGTAATATAAAATGTATTTCTTAACATGGGTTATGGTCAAGTATGTTTGAAAAGCCATGGTCTTAGGATCAAGGTCTCTTTTCTGGCTAATAATGACTGAAATCTTTTAAATTATGAGAAGCATTATGGTTAAGGGACCTTGAAAAGGTTTGTGGTAACTGAAACAAAGAGCTGGATGTTTTGTCATTTCTCCCTCCCGCCCCTCCACTTAGGTCAGAGCTAAATCCTCCTTGCTTTCTCTCAGGGGAGAAAGGAAAGAGGCAAAGTGGTGGTAAAGAAACAGTGCTGGGAGTTCTCACACTGGAAAGAAATGGGTGAAAATTAAGTCCATCACAAGCCTTGCTAGAGTACTAATAATAGGCGTACACGTTGTTTCTGCAGCACTGTCCTTTTTAGTGTTTTAATACGTGTTCTCATTCCGCCTCGGGAAATCCTGCAAGATAAGTGGGAAAGATATTATTCTATTTTCCTGATGCTCCCTTCGATGCACTCTCCACTCAGCTATAATTGTTTATGGTTTTTTGTTGGCGTCTCTAAGCCTTGCACATGGTGGAATACCTTCCCCTTGTTCTGTCTGGGAAACTCCCATTCATCTCATAAGACTCAACTCAAGGGTTTATCTTCTGTGAATTTTTCCTTGCCTACCTAGGTAAACCTGCTTACAATGTCCTTTGGGCCGCCTCTCTATTTTGTTCATACTTCAATCCATCCACTTACTTGTTACATGCCTTCATTTTGAACTAGATTGTGCGTGCTTTGAAGTCAGAGATGGTACCTTATTTATCTATCTTTGCATATCTAACATGGAGCATAGTGTCTGGAACATATGTTGAGATTATAATAGAATGAGGGAATGAATGAGGAAATGGAGGTTTAGGGAAGTTAAGTGGGTTTTCAAAAGCTGGAACTGAAAGTAGAAACCGGGTTCCCTCAAATCCAGCCTGGCCTTCGGCAGAATCTGGCTGTAATAGGCCTGTGAGGTAGACGGTGACTGAGGAATGATGTGTCTTCCATTTTATAAAATGGCAAACAGAGGTCTTAGAAGGGTGAGTGGTAGCGCTGTCTTGGGAAGAGGAAAACAAATGAACATTTTTTGAGCGCCTACCAGTAAGGAAGACTGCAAGTTACACGCTTTGGGGATTTCATTTCACTTGGCCCTCGTAATAATGCTATGCAGATCTGTTTTGTGGATAAGGAAGTTTGGGTGAACTTAAGTGTCTTGCCCATAGACCCATAGTAGCAAAAATAATAACAGTTAACATTCACTGTGTGCTATACATGGTTCTGAGCATTTGGCATATTCCTTTAATCTCCTTGACAGCTCTTTTGAGGGGGGTTCTGTTATTATTGCCAGGTGAGGAAACTGAGGCCTGGAGAGTTTCGGTGTCTTGCCTAATATTAGTAGCAGAGCTGAGATTTGAATCCAAGCAGATTGGCTCCAGGACCCCACTCTTCAAGGTTAACGAGCAGCTTCACATAAGTGATAGGGATAGAACAACAGCGACCCCAGTAATGAGGCTTATAACTTGTATCTCCCTTGATTTCTAGTTATTTCTGTGAAGTCACTTGAACTCTCAACATTGAGTTTGCTCTTGCTTTGTGATAAAGATTTCTGCCGTGTGATAGTGACCGATGTAACAACATCTCTTGGGGGAATGACAGCTGCCCACTCTTGAAACTTTATGCAAGATGTAGATGGCAAAAACAGGTGCTTGGGAATAGGGAGGGAACCAGATTTCAGTCCTGGCTTTGCCACTTCCAAGTTGTGTGACCCTGAGCAATCTGTGACTTAGTTTCGTAGATGTGGGGATAATATCAGTACCTCTGGCATGGCAAGGTTTTGAGGATGCAGTGAGACAATGTATGTACAAGTACCTAGAATGGTGCTTGGCACATAGTACGTGCTAAGTCAGTATGGCTACTCTTCTTAGGCCTTGGTTTGACTCTAAAGAGCCTGCCCTGCCCTACATTTAAGCAGAGTGCCCTTTTATTCCCAGTAACGTCACAAGTCCTGTGAAGAGGGAGGCCATGGCGGCAGGTTTTGTAATGGGGACAGATGGTCGGGAAGAAGTTGCCTGGGTGGGCTGCCTGACAGCTGGTGATGGCACCAGCTCAGTTCCTGGAGACCCAGGCCGACTTAGACACTGGGCACCACAGAACTGAAAAGCTCCGAGTTTGCATTACTAGACCCTGTAAACGCCAACACCAGCCACGAAATGCTGTTAGCGATTTCTGTCTCTGACAGATGATCTTTGCATTAATAATTCATTTCACTTTTGCAACATTTATGAATAAAACATTATAAGTGAGACCCTGACCATTAAGTGTTAGCTTAATAAGAATCCCGTAATACAGCACCACCATCTTGTGTGTAATCTAGAAGACATTCCTCCTAAGAAACGGTCCCGTCTTGCTAATGAATCCTACCAGCATGCCTTGTTAGTCGAGTACTGTTACCACCTATCCCAGGGTTGGGAAGTTGGCTCTTTGTCTGAAAACAGCTGAGGCCAGAACCTAGGCCTTTTGATACTATTTATGGGTTTCATCAATGACATGTCCTTGTTCCATTAAAAGATTTTAAAAAAAGTGGACACACGCACATACACACACACAAACACACACACACACACACACACACACACACGCAATACACACAGAGAAACCAGGAGTCAAGAAACACTAACAGAATCCCAGGAGATCCTACATTTGTTTTCAGCTTTAGTAGCCTGGTGGTAGCTTCTGCAGGGCAGAAGCCTACTTTCAGTGTTTGCTGCCTTGCATGCCTGAGTTATCAAGTACCTGTTTAAAAAAAAGGAGGGGAAAGCTTTGCCTTAAGAAATGCTGAAATGATCAGATCATTGGCACACAGGAGTTCTCGTGTGGCTGAGCAGTCCTATCAGGCGGAGAATGACTAATTCTTTTCAGAGTCAAGCCATCCTGTGAGTGCTCACCTGGCCCCCCTGGGTTGTGGCCTCCCACAATACCGTTTGACACGCACCCTCTGTCCTCAGGGGTGACGTGGTGATGGAGAAGACCTCACTGTCTGCTCACAAGGACAGGTTCAAGTTCAACCCCGCTGTTGTGTGCCCCTCCATCCCACCATTTCAAGTTGCCTTCACTTCTTCACAGCCCGTCCGCCCAGACGTGTTTGGAAGTCTGTGCCTCCCCTCTGCCTGGGTGGCTGTTTGGGTCTCTCTGGCTCTCAGTGCTTTCTTTCCCTCCTGCTTCACTCCTTTACATGCCTCCCTCTGCAGTCAGGTCTAAAGTCATTTTTCCAACTCATTGTTCTCATGTCCAGTACAGTCCCTGCCCCGCCTTCTTTCTTCCATTTCTTCCACACACCCCTTCAGTTCTGTCACACCAAATACGACTCAGCTTCTTTTATTTCCCTAGCACACTTCCTCCTTCAGGACGGTTTTTCTGGTGGGTTTTCTTTCTTTTTTTTTTTACTCTTTATTTTATTTTATTTTATTATGTTATGTTAATCACCATACATTACATCATTCGTTTTTTCTTTTTAAAAAAACCTGAAGCCTTCCTCTTCAGCTGGAAGATATTCAGCAATTCAACAATTATTGACTATTTCCCAAGTGTGAGGTACAGAAACACTTCTCAAATTCTACCTTTGTGTTTTCCTCCCCTCCAACTTTTTGAAGAATAATTGACAAATGTAGCTGGGTATGTTTAAAGTATCTGACATGATGACGTGATATACATATACGTTGTAGAATAATTACCAAGATTGAGATAATTTCTTCCTTCCTTCCTTCTGACCTTCCTTCCTTCCTTCCTTCCTTCCTTCCTTCTTTCCTTTTTTG